TGGGAAGGTGGAAGGAGAGGTAGAAAGCAGAATAAAGAAATGAAAACCTAAGGTGACAGAAGGGGAAACAATGCTCAATAAAGTTATCTTAAGGTTTAAGGTAGTCTTCTTCACTGAAGAAGCATCTTTAAACCCAGATACCTTTCAGTGAATGCAAATATGGGCTCTAGTGCACCACAGCCTAAAATAAATCAGGAGAGAGAACAAAGAAAGAAAAAGTAAACACTCATTTGAATCAGTGCTAATAATAAACCTATTTTCAGCTGTCCTATCTCAAGCAGTAACATTGCTAATGAAGGCCTCACAAACCATTTTCTAAGGGGGAGCAAGCATACCGCTTCTGTAGTACACAGTGTGATACATAAACTGTTGGGAGGGGGAAGGGAGCTAGAAAATATACACAATCCACCAGAAGCGTCCTTTAGTCTTTGAATCAGAAACAAGCTTCCTAATAATTTCTTTAGCTATTGTATTATATAATCTCATTGCTACTATTTGTCTGAGCTTCTCCAATATTTAACTGTTTGTTGTTGTTATTTGGCTGTTTATGGGTTTTTATATGGGTTATATAAACAAGTTGACACAATAGGGCAGGGGTGGGCAAACTTTTTGGCCCAAGGGCCACATCTGGGTATGGAAATCGTATGGCGGGCCATGAATGCTCATAAAATTGGGGGTTGGGGTGCAGGAGGATGTGAGGGCTCCAGCTGGGGATGCAGACTCTGGGGTGGGGCTGGGGATGAGGGGTTGGGGGGTCAGAAGGATGCTCCGGGCTAGGACCGAGGGATTCAGAGGGGGGGAGGGGGATCAGGGTTGGGGCAGGGGATTGGGGAACAGGAGGGGGTCAGAGGGGCAGGCACTGGGTGGCGCTTACCTCAAGCAGCTCCCAGAAACAGCAGCATGTCCCCCCTCCTGGCTCCTATGTGGAAGCACAGCCAGGCAGCTCTGCGCGCTGCCCTGTGCGCAGGCACCACCGCTGCAGCTCCCACTGGCTGGGGTTCCCGGCCAATGGGAGTTGCGGGGGTGGTGCTTGGGGTGGGGGCTGTGTGCGGAGCCCCTTGGCTGCCCCTACGTGTAGGAGCCAGACTGGGGACGTGCCACTGCTTCCAGGAGCCGTGCAGAGTGGGGCAAGACCCCAACCCTGCTCCCCGGCTGGGGTGCCGAAGCAGGGCAAGCCCCAGACCTCGGTTCCCAGGCAGGAGCTCGAGGGCCAGATTAAAATATCTGGAGGGCTGCATGTGGCCCCTGCGCTGTAGTTTGCCCACCTCTGCAATAGGGCGTAATGGCTCCTCATTGTATTATAAATTTAAATGGCACACTCATGGAATTGAAGTGCTAAGCAACATGAATAAGGAAGGTAGGCATATTTGGTAGCAAGTATTGTTCATCCAGTAGTCCATAAAGACACCAAATGCAGATCTATTAAAATGGGTATTTTTCCTTTCATGGTTTTTAAGAAAGTCATTGTTACAGACTTTCTTGTAAATATTTATTTTAAATTAAAACAGCACAAATTACTATGTGTACAATTTTCAAAAACTTCTTAGTGACTAAAGGAGCCTAACGACTTTCAACGAGACTTTGGCTGAAGTCAATGGAGCTATCAATTTACCCCCAAGCAAACAAACAATCTGGCTATCCTCTTTATAAAGTAAGGCCCCAATCCAACAAACATTTAAGCACATGCTCAACTTTAGCACTTGAGTAGTCCCTATTTACTTCTCCAATGATGGTCAGTTACAGGATCTGGGCTCCTTTATAACTATAATAATAAACAGAATATACAAGGTTGCCAAACTATAAGGAAGCAGTCAGGACTTCTACACCAATTGGATACCTTTTGTGAACTTTTCAACACAGTACAGTCATTGCAGCCATGCATACGCTCCTGACCTCTCTTGTCCCTGTGTTAAAGGTCAACACCTTGGACTTACAGTAACATTCACACACCATCCTTTACTGGATATACTAGTAGTAATGCACTGAAAAAAACCCAAGACACTTCTTGTAATAAACCTGCAGTCCATTATCCACACAGTGCAATCCCCAACTGTCTGAAGGACATTTTTTCACATATATTACAGTAAAACCCAGAAGTCCCAATCAGATTGGGTTCCCATTGTGTGAGGTGCTGTAAAAAAAAAAAAAAATGTACAAAGATGAAGGTCACTGCTCCCAAGACTCTGCAATTTATTCTTTGTGGTTTTTCTACAAATACATTCAGAGACTTAAGGTTGCTGTTTTCATTATTTTTGTAAAAACTAAACTCAGAATAAAAATAAATACAATTGTGGAGAAAAAATATAATTTCATTTCTATTTAATTTATGAAAACAATGTACTGCCGAGTAGATTATATGATTTATATATATATGGTTTAACCTCCAGCTGGCTATAGGCCCAAAACCCCTCCACCTGAGGCATATATGACCAGGTGGGAGGAACATGAGACTGACCTATAACAGCCCTGAAGCTTTCCCCCCCAAGCAGCAGCTACAGAGATAGCTCCTGCAGTGTGCAGGGAGGTCAGTCAGTCCCCATGAGGCTCACAGAAAACAATTGTGATTCAGAAAGGCACATCACTTTTTTTGCAAAATATGTTGTGTTTTTACTTTTACTTTTATTTTTTAATTAAAACACAACTTACTCCGTTTGTTGTTCCTCTAAATATTTTTTCTCCAGAGAGATTCATTTTTTCTTTTCAGGGTGTATTTTGTTGTGGATGGTGGTGGGTTTGTTTGGGGGTTTTTTTACATGGCTTTTTATGACTGATCAGCCTAGTCAGGTGGTGGAATTTTTTCAGGATTAAGGAATTCTGAAATTTTAAAAAGGTTTTTTTAATTCAAAAATGAAAAAAGCAAAAAAATGTATAAAACTAAACTGATCATTAAAAACAAAAAAAACAAAAGACACAGAATTACAAAGCTGTTGACACTATTGAAATTTCCATTAAAAAGAGTTTTATTAATAACAGTACTATTACCATAGCACATAATTATGCACAAGGTCCCTATTCTGCTAAGCACAGTTTTCAACTTTTTTACCAGCTTAAGGAATGAGAAACACACAGCATTTTGTTCTGTGGAGCAGCATCCATTACTGCTGCATGCTATGGTGTTGAGCTCAGTACCATGTTTATCCCATGTGATAATTATTAGTCGTAGTTAGTACTATGGTAGCATATAGAGATCTCAAACAGAATCAGGACCTCAGTGTGTTAGGCATTACGCAAATACACAGTAAGGAACAGCCCCTGCCCTGAAGAGCTTAAGATCTAATACACCCTTCATAAAAATACTGCATATTCAGTCACTTAAACTATGTGGTTTACTGGTACCCAAAGCCCCACTTCTACAGACTCTTATGCATGTCTTTAACTTTACCATCATGAGACGTCCCATTGACCTCAGTGAGACTACTCACAGTAGCCAAGTTAAACATGCGCAGGCATATTTGCAAGATCAAGGCCCAAATCTATAAGGCTCATTTGCTAACAAACAAACAAACAAAAAAACCCTGTATTAATGAAGGTAGAGTTGGGGAGGTAACAGTCAGCGAAACTCTGCTACAAAATATGGGTTCCTTCCTACCTTCCTTGCACACCCAAAATTCTCATTATAGACGCATCCTACTGAAATCATAGTTTTATTCAGAAAATTGACTAAAGAGTGTTGCCATAAAAATTAACTTCCAGAAGAAGGGGAAAAGGCCTAACTTGGTTTCAGTGGACATTTGGGTGTGCAAGGAATGCAGCATGGGGCACACACAAAGCCAGATTACACCCTTGGATTCACATGCACACATCCCTTTGAAACTGATAGGAGCATATCTGAGCACCGAATTCTGCTTCACAATGTTTAAATTCATAGAAAAATACTGTCTTTGGACATTTTCCTTGCCAATTTCAAAATGATTCTAGTAGATCTATTTGGCTTTTTTATTGTCATGGCAAAATGGTTTTTATTTCCTTTTTAGCTAATTTTCTTTTCATTTTATAGGAGGAAGAGCTTACATGCATCGCTAACTAAATTGTAATGTTATACATTTTTGACTTTTATAAAGCCTTGTTCTGCAAATGTTTGTCATAGAAGATGGCCAGTACCTGTGACAAGGTTCTCTTTTTCAAGTACAGTTTTATGAAACAAACAAGTATATGACTTGTTTAAAGCCATTTCAAAGAGAATTAAAAGAAGCAGGTGCCCCCTGTTTTAATAAGGTCACCATTTGTAACAATCAGGGGATGGAACAAGGTCCATAATAGGGGAGATTGGTGGCTGCAGCCACATCTTAGATGTGAATAGTAGTAGCCTTATCACAGCACTCAGATGCCTTAATCGTTACAAGTGTCACCATCAGGCAGCAAGTCCCTGGGGGCTATTGGAACTAAGCTCAGGAATAGCTCCAGCTGGACAGGGTTTAGTGCAGGGCTGCACAGCTTTTCCAAATAAAGCCCCAGTGCCATTAAGAAGTTGCACAAAGGCAAACAGCAAGCTTTAGCCAATTTGCTGAATTCGGACACCGAACACCAAAGTCCTCCAGTATTTATTTATTTATTTTTGCTTTGCTTTCAAGCCCCACTTCCATGCATTTCGGAAGAGCAAAACTCCAACTGTATTGGTCCGACTCTGCAGTAGAAACAAAAGTCACTCTTGCGACTGCTCGGGTTTTCCAAAATTTACTTCCTAGAGCAATAACACGTGTCCACCTTTACACTTCAAAGCCCTGATCCCTTCCTAGTCCGTTGTCTTTAGATTAATCGGCCTTTTCCTCAGTTGTTTAGTTTGTCCCTCTCAGAATTCGCGAGCGCTTTTTGTTAAGAACAGCTGGAGCCCCTCAGCTTCCCCGCGGCCAGTGCCCCTTCCACACACACGGCAGCTCCCAAACATTGCAGCCAGCGAAAGGTTCCCCTCGGACTAATGGAAACTAATGGCTCTGCCACGAGCGCCGATTTGCATCACTTAAGCAGCCCGGGTTTCCCGGGGGAGTCCAGGAGCAACTCACCATTCCCCCAGCGCGTGCCCCACGAAGGGCGAGAAGTTTGCAAACATTTTCCTCCAGTTCCCGGGCTGGGTTCTGGTCTCGACTTGGACCAGTTAAGGCGGGGGCGCGGGGAGGCTGTCGCTGGGGTGCAAAGAAAGAACAGGGGCCCCGGGAGGCTGCCACTCTTTAGAGAGCAGCGGGGGCAGATGCCTTCTGCAGGCGCCGGGCAGCCAGAGCCCGCAACCGCTGGAGCAGAGACAGGGACACCCCCTTGAAAAGCGGTGCCCAAGGCAGGAGCCAGCCAGGCATCCACGCGGCGCCCGGAGCGCCCGCCCGCCCGATGCGGGAATGCCCAGCTGCGGAGAGAAGGAGCCGCGCCGGTGCCCGCTCTCGGCCCCTTACCTCGCCGTGACTGGAGGCAGCGCCGCACCCCAGGCTGCTCGCGGGGACTTTATCCCTCCCCGCGCCTGCTGCCGTCCGGAGCCAGCCCAGGCGGGGCTGCCTCGGCCTCGCTGCGGCGCCCGGTAGGTGGCTCCCTGCGGCGGGGGCGAGGAAGTTGCTGCCTTGACTCCGGTCTGAAGCCGGGGACGCTGCGGGCAGCCCCCTGGCTCGGGCGGCGGCTTTTCCTCCTGCCTCCGTCAGCAACAGCCCACCCCGCCGGCCGGCCAGCCCGGGAGACGGAGCCGTACGGGAACGCAGAGCTCCGGGCTGTTTAACTCCTTGGCGGCGGCTGCTTCTCGCCTTCCCCCAGGCTGAAGCTGCTCTCAGCCAAGGACGCCTCCGCTGGCAACCGGGGGGAGGAGCGAGGGTTCTGATGTGGGAACAGGAGTCCCGCCGGCTCGCGCTCGGTGCGTCTACACTGCACTGAAAGACCAGCAGCGGGGCCACAGGTGGCCTGGCCGGGATGGCTCCTTGAGCTGAGTTGGCTTGTGGGGCTGGAAAATTGCAGTGTTAGCCTTCGGGCTCTGCTAGAGCCTGGGTCAGACCCCGCGAGAGGGTGGGCTCCAGCTGGGCTCAGCCCAGGCCAGCCCCCTGTCTGCATTGCAATTTTATAGCCCTGCCAGCCCAACTCAACTGATCTAGGCTCTGAGACTCTTGCTGGGAGTATTTTATCACAGTGTGACCGCAGGGTTCCAACTCAGGCTCTTCCATCTGCTCACAAATCACATGAACCAAGGGCTCAGACCCAGAACCCCACGGGGGGTGGAGGGTCTAAGCCTGAATCAAGCTGGACCAAGGGTTCAAGCCCTATTGCTTTGCAGTGTAGACACAGCCCAATTAGACTGGGAGTCCCAGTGCTCTGGGAGTCTGCCAAAAGCAACCCACAGTTCCACAGGCTGACTTTCTTTGTCCTCTGAACAGTCAAGTTTGGTGAACAGTCCCAGCAAACAGCCACATTTGGGGAGGGCGCTAAGAAGTCTGGAATGTGGGTGGCTGGACTTGGGCCTGTGTAATGCAGTGTAAACATTAGCGCCCTGGTTGGTACCCAGGGTTCAAAAATTCATAACCTAGGGTTACAAATAAGTGTTGATGCTCAAGGCCTAGGTTAACAAACCCAGGGTCTGCTAACTTAAGTTCTCCTAACCCGATCAGAGGGGTCAGTCCTGCAAACTCTTATGCACATCAATAATTCTACACATGTGATTAAAGTTACTGACTTGGAATAAGTATTTGCAAGATCTGGGCCATATTTTCTGTAACATCCTTCATACAAACTAAAAAGAAATTTTAAAAATGGTGTTACCCTCACCTTGTGTACATTATTCACCTAAGGTCATAGGTCCGGATCTTGCATTGAGCTGTGTGAGCAGTTGTCTGTGTCCAAATCAGGGCCGGCTCCAGGCACCAGTCCACCAAGCTGGTGCTTGGGGCGGCACCTGGAGGGGGCGGCAAGGCGCTCCGGCCCGAGAGCGGGGCTGCGACCGGGCTCGCCGCCCTCCCCCCGGCGCTGCCTCTGGCCGCCGGGGAGAGCGGAGTCCCGGCGA